AACATCATCTGCGAACACACCTGGCTGATATTAGTATACACATGCTCGCCAAACGTGTAGAGTCGTTGGAAAGGACACCGTTTTGTCGTAAAGTCTACTCTGCAACTCTTTTTGTCCATTTTTCGCCAGTTTTTCTCATTATGTGTCCAAATCATTTATGTATCCTTATCTACGTTTGCGTCATGTATCCATTAAAAAAGCGTTCTTTGGGTGGTGGTCATAGATTGACGAGTTTGAAGTACCAGTCCATGACTCTGCCACTCCACAGAGCAACGGAAGACGTTCAACTGAATAGGTAGGCACAGAGTTGTGGGTACAAGTCGACAGCTTCTTTGAGCTGCTCAGACGATGCTCATGCCACAAACATATGTGACGTGGTCATTTTGAGCAGCGAAGGAACTGTTTACCCTAGTACTGAGTTTTTATTGAGGCAAGAAAATGCGTGACGTTTGTGAATTTGTAAGAGCTTTATTGTGCTTCAAAGAAATCATTCAAGTAAGTGATGCGTAATTTCTCATCAGTGTCGATATGTCAACACATACATTTTTTCATCTTTAGCACCGTAGTTGTGGGACGTAAAAGAGTGGACCAAACCTTTTTGTTAGCGATTTCTATCAAAACTTGATTTATGAATGATTCTGTGTCCATGTAGCTGTGTTGGTAGCGGGGCATATTCATGAATAATTTATTTTCATTATCGCAGCCCACCCATTTGAAGTATGTACGGTTGATCTCCACGTGGAATATTTAGTGGACGATTATGGAGAGAAGTGAATATATGGAAAGCTGTTTTTTTTTCGATAAGAATAAAATCTATTATCTTGTTGCGGGGGTTACGACGATTCGGGTAAGTAAGGGTGCAATAAACTTGGTTCTTTCAAGCTCTGAAGACGGCGAACTCTGCCGATACGTCAAATTTTATGAATGAACCATATGACAGCAGCTTTCTGTTATCCAACATGGAAAATGGAAATGTTGACCATGCTGAGGCTAACAAGAAATCGGTTCGGGAATTTTCATAGAGGTGCTGATGAGATTTTCCCAAAGTGACTCTTCAAATTCGCTTGCATTTAAAAGTTTTGTCTGGGTGTGCAGTTGTAAACACCCAAATGTCTCCTCTGAATTTCACCTTCTCGAGTGACTCAGTGATTTTAAAAGAGATGCGACCCTAACTTCTTATTAGGAAAGTTTACCCACATTATATATAGTTTTTTTTTTGCCAAAGTCCTCGCTTATTTTTTAGTAAGTCCGCTTCTCACGTGAGGAGGGAGTTCCATTTGGAATAATTTTTGCATAGAATTTGCTATTTCCTCCATTAACAATGGCAATAACTTATTCAACTTGTGCATGGAACAAATTTTCGCAATAAAATCAAGACTGAGAAAATCACTTCGGAACGATAGGTATCGAGATTACACCATGTAGACATGTGATTGATTTTCACATAGTCATCCTGCTACGGGGTGATTCACTTGTGCACCTTTTTTCAAATTAATTCTATATGAAATTATGCTGAGGAGAAGATCTCGAAAGCCGAACTCCGTTTCCGTATCTTCTCTATTCCAAATTCACGTATCATGTAACTCTTTTACAACTCGTTTACCTATGACGTCCTCACTTCGGATTATCTTGCACCTCTAGTTGACCTCTAGTATGTGTCCACTTTGCATAACGCGAGCCGCAAATTTGGCAAGTAACAGTGATCTTAGGACAAGGAAATTATTAGGTCGCTCCATAAGTGTTAGCACTAGCGCAATAAATACTAGACTTATTAAACAATAGTAATTGAAATTGGTTCAGTTGTCTATTTTCTTGCGGACATTTTGGTATGCAATCCGATTATATTTGTTCCAGGATGGGGCAGTCTTGAAAAGAAATTCCCTTGCTACTCATCCACGAATGGCGCGTAGGAGCAAATGCCAGTGAAGCGGAGCGCAAAATTGATGGAGCTTCCTGTGGACGGCCCGAGAGCGACTGATCCTCCAGTTGTCCCTCTAGATTTGAACTTCGCATATTAATCCCTGGCTGACCTTTTTGAAACCTCTTCATCGGCCTAAGCTCTATTAATCTTGACACTGCTTCATTAACACTTTCCCCTATGCGCTATTCATGTATGAGTAGCAAGAAAATTTGTTCTCAGGACAGTTTCATCTTAAAGCAAATGGAGCATTTCCGGTATCCGATCCCAGTTCTAGCGCTCGCTCAAGATTTTTTTTTTCGGTGTTTTTTAAAATATAAGTAGCCATTCAATAGCTGAAATCTCAAAATATTTGAAAATGTATTTAATTCTCGAAACGGCTTTTTTATTCCACATTCTACATTCAAACGTTCCTCGTTGCACAAAGTTTTTTTTTAGACTTTTAGTAATCATTCGATAGATCAAATCTTAAGGACTACAGAAATGCATTTGGCTTTCGAAGAAGACTTTTTGCTTTGCTGTAACAGTCAGAAGAAGATTGGGTATCGCAAATCAGATTATCTTCGTATTCCACGCCTTTTTTCCACCCCTTGAGAAAAACCTGTCTTTTGATTTTTTCTCGAGTCTTAGCAATTATCTGATAGCCAAAATTTCAACGATTTGAATTGTATATGTTATTTCTAAAACGTTTCTTCTATTAGACTGCAACAGCAAAAATAAAACTATGTTTCTCATTCAAACATTTCTCAATGAGCAAAGCTGTTCCTTCAGACTTTTAGTAACCATTCGGTAGCTTGAATCTCGTCCACCTTTATAACATATTTGGCTCCTGAAAAGGAGTTTTTATTGCATTGTAGCAGCCAAAAGAATGTTAAATCTTCCTCAGCGCAACATTCACATCAAACTATCGTGCTTTGGCGCTATGTGGATAGGGATTTCGTAATATGCCCCTGAGCAACCATGCTTTTTCCGGCGCCAAATTTGCGAAACCCTGTCTTCTTTTGATTGTTGCAGTGCACCATGAAGTCCTTTTCAAAGGCCAAATACATCATTGAATTGTACGAGATTAAAGCTATCGCATGATCACTAAAAGGCCAGAGGAAAAGCTTTGATCAGCCAAAATGTTCCAATGAGATACAAAATTTCATTTTTAGTGCTACAGCGCAAAGCAAAAGCTGTTTTGAAAATAAACTACTTTTTCAAATTTCTTGGGATCCAAGCTATCGAATGATTATTCAGTATTCAAAAACCCAAAAATGAGTTTTCACGAGCGCTGGAACTGGGACCGACCGGATAACGGAAAAGCAACAAACGAGTGTAGGCAAATTGTACACCAAAGTGTTCGAAAGAAAATGCGCTTTCGAACGATACCAGAATCATGAAATTTTAATTACTTCTGGTTAATATTTTGTGTTTATTGCTCTAGTGCCAAAACCTTTGGAACTTCCTGATAAAAAGGCGATTGTATTGATTCGCCTTTACAGGTCTTTTATGAGTCGACTTGATATCCTTCCCCTTATCCATGGTTCCTAAGCAGTTCATCGATCTCCACAATTTTCTGGGGATGACTGGTTCTACTGATTCAGAGATGTTTGCAATTTATGGATCTGTTCTCGCCAAATATCTCACCAAACCTCATCGATGTGAGAACTACGTGAAGTACGAGATACTGATGTTCGAGATCGAGCTCCTGTTTTTATTTTCCTTAAAAGTCGACTTAGCTCTGCTAATTCAGGAAAAAGTACAATTATTCTTGAATCTTCAGCACAGGCTATCGCCGAATTTTGTGGACTGAATAGAGACTTCCAATCTTCTGATAGTTTTTTCTGATTATTAATAAGCAATATCGAAAGCTGAGACTTGAAGCTACAGCCCCACGTCGCCGGTTTTTTTCAAAAAAGCCTTTCTTGACGATCTTAGAGGAGGAGATTTACCTGCGACGTGGGCTGTAGACTAAGGTTTCAGCTTTCGAATGCTTGCTAACACTCCTATGAAAACTTCTTGACCAGCGAATGAGGTCGGTTTGCATTTGCTTCCTTATAACCGAAAAGAACATCCCTGGCTAAGTTGTCATCCAGAGAGGTGGTTCTTAGCATCGGTATCTCTGGCAGACAAGATATCGAACTTCAGCGCAGCGCTAGAAATTCCTCTGGAAGGAGACTGAGATAGATACACCGCTTTATTCTGCAGTTAGGCAGTCCAGAGCAGCTCCTGAACATGACTAGGCACCGCACCACGGGGTGCATTTTTTCGCTTTTGAATTTTCATAGGACTCTGCTATAACAATATACCGCCCTACCAGTAACATAATATTAAATTCATAGGTTTTTTTGACAGAAATATCCTGTTAAACTATACTATACATTCGCCTAAGCCTACGAATATGTCTATAAAAAACTTATTTTGCTGAAACACCGACTTGGGGCAGGAAAATTCCGCGCTCCACGGCTAAGTTTGTGCGAACGCTCGGACTTATCGTCGCATCGATCGTTATCGTGAGGCTGCCCACTAGTGTCTCGTTTGATTTCGTGCTGCTCGTCGTCTTATGTCTGGTTCTCAGTTCCCGTTGTTTGTTTCCTTTATATAAATAAACAAGTAAATAAACAAATAAACAGATAACGGGTAGGTAAACAAACATAAATGTCCGTTTTCTAGTGATTAGTCGCGGCGCAATAAACGTTTTCCGCTGGTTACAATGGCTTTTACAATTGTCCATAATGATTTCGTTTTTTTTTCTATTGATTAATAAGGGTTTGTTACTAAATAAGTAAATGAATATATATTTATAAATATTCAAGCTAAATAATATTTGATAATAACTCATTATAACCAAGATTCATATGTTTTACTGCTTTTCTTTTCGCAGTCACAAAATGTCTTTCAAGTATACTTAGGAGAGTTGAGTGCCAGGCAAAAATTAGACGTCAGCTAGGAGTCGAACCTGTGTATCATCCATATCGAAGACTCGTGCTGCCACCACACCACCGAAGCCACTCATTTTTCAATATCTGCTGTATTGATATGTATATGGTATATGGGATATCAATATAGACACTGAAGAATGAGTGCTGAGTAAGCGGTGACCTCGGTGGTGTATTGGTAGCACGCATCCCCGGTATGGGTGAAACACGGGTTCGTCTCCCGCCTGAGGTCGATTTTTTGCTTAGCACTCAATTGTCCTAATTATATGTGACTCATTGTAATTTATAATGCTAATAATAGTAACAGGCAATGGTTGTATCTATAAGTAAATGGATTGATGGATAAATTTATTATCTCATTCTCATATCTAAGTGCGCATGTGGCGCAATGGTCAGAAGAGCTCTGCGTCGCTCGCGAGGTCAGTGGTTCGTTCTCTGCACTCGTGGCTCACTAAGCCATCTATCCCTTCGTGGTCGGTAAATTGATGCCAGACTGGTCTCAGACTTGTCTGGATGATGAGCAGCACTGACTCGATATAGCGGGAGGCCATCGTGAGTCATTGTAAAGGCCAGATATGCATTCAGTCACTTCAGAGGAAGCTCAGAGCTGAACACGAGTTCTTGAGGTATCCCTCGGGGATTGATCAGCGCAGAGAGCTCAGTCCTTTTTATTCTCGTATTATATCTTATCCTTATCTATTTTATCTTTTTAAATTTTTTTATTGTTTTATCTGTTTGTTTGTTATTCTATCATTTTATCCCGTTTCTGTTTGATAGTTTTCTTTGTCTTTGTCTTTGTTATCATATCTATAATGGAGTGATAATTCATCTAGTGGTGGTAATTTCAGATCGTTCAGTGTGCATTTCAATTCCGGACGTTCTGTATTCGTAAGCCAGTCATGTTTTCAGATGAGTAAGTTAGTTAAATGTGTAGTTTTATATTACAAACATATATGTACATTGTTTGAGCGCATGTGGCGCAGTGGTTAGAGGTGCTCTGCGTCGCACACGAGGTCAATGGTTCGATCTCGCGCTCATGGCTCACCAAGCCATCCATCCCTCCGGCGTCGGTAAATTGGTACCAGGCAGGTCTCAGACTTGTCTGGGAGGATAAGCAGCACTAGACCCGGTTCAGCAGGAGGTCACCGCGAGTCCATTGTAAAGGCCAGATATGCATTTAATCACCTCAAACGAAGTTAAAAATTGAAGTCGAATGTATGGCGCATCCCTCAGGGATTGATCAACGCCGAGAGTTTTATCCTTTTTTTATGTACATTGTTTATAAGTTAGGGGCACCATAGCGAGTGATTGTGGTGCCCGTCGCGATGCGACTCGCAAATCCCCTCCTCTCCCTTCCCTACTCCCCACTCCAAAACTCTTCGGCAGTCAACATGGAAACGCCCTATGGGGCGCCATAGTCAGGTCTATGCTCACCTCCTTTTACGACTCTCAGGAAGCAGACGAAAACAAGGAATCGAGTGGTAGAAGTACTGGGATCAGCTCAGTGAAAAAGAAAGCTAAAGACTTTAAGTAAAGACTTTTTATTTAACCGCTTACAGCGGTGATGTGCGAGGGCTTTGCGTTAGGCGGGACTTGAACCCGCATTTATACCTGTCCAAGGCTCCTGCTCTAACCATTACCCGTTGTCTGCCAGTGGTGACTGAGTTCAATGTCGATATCAACTATCTAGGCCAATCCGTTGGCGGTTCGATGCGTTGTAGGATAGAATGAATGGCGGCAAAACAGGCGTCGATAGTACAACGGGTTAGAGCACGCGCTCCGAATAGAGTTAAGTGCGGGTTTGAGTCTCTCCTCACGCAAGTTTTTTCACATCGCTCAACACGGATATATATACATGCATATATAAACATATATGTACATATACATGAGTGCACATGTATATGTATATACATATGATTACGTTCACGTATATGATTGCGCACATGTGCATGTATGCGTATATATAAGTATATATGCGTATCAGTAGATTACAAATTCAATCGTGAACGCTATGCAAAACATTTGACTTAAGCGTGAATTAAATCCGTGTTTCACCCATGCCTTCGGACCCGTGCTACCAGTATTACGTTTTCATTCCAATCAGTATTCTTATATTTATTAAAAGAACATAGTAACATCTGCTAAAAATCAGTAAAAGCAAAGAATTCTTCGTATGTGCATAAATATGTACTTCTCACTCTGAAAACCGACTTTTCTTCAACATAGGCGTTACCGACCAATGATCGTTCTTCTATGATGTAGCCAGTGCCACGAAGTTGATATCGAAATTTTGATCTCTGAAAAAGACAGGCGAAGACGTGGACACGTTAATCGAACAAAGTCTTGATGTCGATCTCGTGTGATTAGCTAAATCATAGATGAAACTATACTGGCCATCTTGTCATTTTTTCTTCTGCCCTAATTTTGCTGATGCCTGTTGCTTTTGAAGCCTTTCACCCCACCACTACGCCAAGCTAGTAACTTATCACTTGGGTCGTTTTTAGAGCAGACAGGCAGACATACTTTTATAAGCACCTGTCGTTTGTATATCGCCTTAGAGCACAACTCATACCTTCAATTCATTGTCTTGGTTAATCTCTAAGTGAATCATTAATGAGTTGACCTTTAACCTGCTGGTTTAGACAAAATATGGGTTATGGATAATGTTCCCTTATAAATAAAGATGGGCGTAGGGTCCATATTTTGTTCCAGTCCACGCGCTTGAAGGTTAACTCATCAATGATCCAGTTAGGGATTACCAAGAGAATGGATTGAAAATCAGTTGTGCCTTAGGGCGGCGAACAAGCGACAGGTGATGAAAAGGGCTGTGTCTTTCTATTGACGGTAAAGCTTAATGCTGTCGGCGTCGATCAGGCCTTAGGAAATGCGTCATGCCTTCGACTTCATCAAGAATCGTTTGAAGTGATGAGTGGGCATCTGGCCTTTACAACGATTCGCGTTGGTCATAGATGTTAAAGTCAATGACGCTATCCACTCAGACAAGTCTGGCGTCAATTCATTCACCGACCCCGCAGGGATAGAAGGCTTGGTGATCCGTGGACGCGGGATCGAAAACCATTGACTATAGGTTGCACGTCTCGTTCCTTTTCTATCGAGACTACCAAGTTTTCGACCTCTCAGTCACCCTGTTTATCATGTTATCGGCGTTATCAAGGACCAGCACTGAGTTGTGGGCTGATTTATGCCACTAATGTTTTTTCTTCTTTGGTATTTGTACCATTCCTGCTTGCTTTTATCCTTACAATAGCAATGTACATTTTGAAGTAACTGGAGCGTTTTCCTATATTTAACAATATAACTTTTCATATGTCAGTTGATCATGTGACGTTATAAGACATCCACCTCTAATTCGAGTCTCGATTTCTACTATTATGGAATATCAGACCCTTCGTTTCGAGTGTTTTTTAAGATCTCGCTCAAAAACAACACAATCTGATAACTTATTTTGAGCCCTTCATGAGATCTGTCATGGCACTCAAATAGTTCAGTACACTTGTTTCGGCTTTCCAGTCTTGTCAGTTTCACGGTAGTTTCGATTCAACCAGTTTCGCAGGGAGATACCCCCAGTATACAGGAATCGACGCCAAACGTTTTTAACCCGTGCCGTTAAGTGATATAATCACTGAATGAGTAGAATCGTACACTCGATTACTCTTGGCGGTAATCGTGAACTCAATGACGCGTGTAAAAGGTTCGAACGTCGGCTCCTGTATACAAGAAATATCTCTCCGCTGGACTGAACCGAAAGGCACCGTGCAGTTGACGAGGCTGGAAGGCCAAAATACGGGTATCGCACTGTATAAGTCCCGTGACGGATCTGATTGATGGCTCAAAATATCTGTCAGATTTATTATTATTGGAAATTGTGAAGTTGAAACTATACATCTAGGAATGTTGAGTGATATGCAAGATTTCGACCTTGGACAGAAGTTGAACTTCCGAGTCTCAGTCATACCAAAGTCGGACTAGTACTTTTTGTTATGATTTAGTCGGCAAATATGGACTTTTATTCTTGATACGATGAAATTATCTACGATTTCATTGAATATTACCAAGGTGATTGGATGCATATCTGCCTCATACAATTACTTTCCGAATCTAATGATGTAAACTTTTCATCCTCCAAGAAATGCATGGCATTAATTGGTTCAATCTGGTGATATGGAAAGTTCGATGTTCCCGAGACTCATGCTCGAGTCAATGAACACGTTTTTCTTGCAGACCATGCACGTTTATACATCCCAACTACCCACCTTGAAGCAAAGAACAAATGGAGTTTTGTAGATTATGTCCATTTCATCACTTTCATCTGACTTTTTGCACTAATCACTCGCTTCTTCAGGAAGGATATCTTGGACTCCATACCGATGCCAGGTACTGCGCCACCTCCTCCACCACCCAATGAAGGAAACGCTGCTTGGGAAAAGGCACAGCAAGCTTTGAAGAAGGTAAGAGGACCTTTTCAATGTTCAACTTCTCCTCTTTGTTCCTTCAACTTCCATGTCTTTGCTTTCAGATTGTAACACAAACTCCAGCAAGCACAGGAGTCAATCAGTCGGTTGCTCAGCCTCCTCCTCCTCCTCAACCTCCAAATGCTCACGCCTTAATGATGCACTATTATCCATGGATCGCTCAGTATGGTATGCAGTATCCTCCACCTCCAAATTATGTCATGGGGTATCAGCAACAGAACAACTTCATGCCATCATCGAACAATCAGCAATGGAATAATCAAAAGTCATGGAATAATTCTAAACAGTGGAAACAATCGACCGCAACAACAGAAGAAGCCGCCGCAATCGCAAGCTCCGAAGAAGTTCACCCCGTTCTCGTTACCACCACGAATACCACCAGATAATCAGAAGTTGACAGCTTCAGCGCCGTCCGTCTCGAACACACAAACTCCAGGCGGACTTGGTGTGATGCCAGATAATGTGAAGTGCGTTGAAATTTTCTTTCTTCAAATTCTAAAGGATGGAAAGTATAAGCAGGAAATTTATATATATTGAGAGATTTCGAGGCAACTGATAAACTGTGCTCGTTAGATTAATGTAATGTACAGGAATTTTGGAATGAACATCGGGTTGTCTCATAATCTCTTTCGCACTTTTATCTTTATTCAGTTTCTCTTCTCTTTTTCCAAATCGGGTTATTACTAAAAGGTTGTGTGATGTGTTGGAGAATGTTATTATAACTTTAGCCAGGAAGTAG